AATATCAACTAAAGTTGAGTTCATTCGAATAACTTTGTCCTACTGATAACTCACCAATCAACAGATACCCTCGATTTTCAGAAATGCTCAACTGCATACAAACCTGAAGTCTCGGTTTCCAAAAGAATTTTCAAATATCGAAGATCAACGAACCAAACAAGTTAAATTGCTGTCTCTACAAGCATTCGCTCAAGAAAAATGAATCTAACGAAACCTTTCGTGTGTTTACGTCGTCGTCGAACACCTGAACTCGGACTGTGTGGATGCTCCGTTGAATCTGATATTTTTGCGGTACTCGAGGCACCTTGGCTATCACCGAGCAACATGTTTGTACCGTTGTATTGGTCTTCCCGAAGTTCTTGGTTATTTCCTGGGGAATTTTGCTTCCGACTTCGCATTTCATTCTCGTGCAGCTGTACCATTGTTGATAATCTTAAGATTGTATTAATGTTTAACATAAAACTAATTTGATTTCATGAGAAAGACACCTCTCGAATCTTCAATAAACGAAAAACTTCATTTACTGTGCCGTTGCTTTAATTATGAAGAACGGCACTCCATAATTTTAACAGCTTAGTTATATTAAAATCATTGAAATATACGAATCCGATTTGTGAATTCAACGTCTGATTTTCATTCATAGAACAATACTTCACTGTTATTATTATTGTTAGATATGATTCAAGATCAGTTTCATATTCTAACTTTGTCATTCGATTCATTGCAGCCGTTCGTCGCAGTCGCACTGATCTTAGCTCGGTGATCATTTTTGTGACCCTCTTCAAATAATTATTCAGTATTTTAGCAACCTGAAACAAACACGATTGAAAAATCAACGAATAAACAAGTCAAACTCTTCGTAATTTCAGTACAAATGATCTATTTGCTATGTTAAACAACTCACTAACTTCTTCAAGATGAATCAACTGATCGGCAGCACGCAAATTCTGATCGCAACGAATCTGTTGCTGGAATGAACGAATCAACTGCGAGCATTGTCTTATAGCACACTCCGTCTCGTCGTCCATCTCTTTGCGTTCCCACTCGGACATTCCTGAGGATTATCTGATCGTGAGTGAGGGCTTTATTCACTGCTTTGGTTGGGAAGTTTCTATTTTAACTGAGGTTGAATCGGTTCATTTGAATAATTTCAATCCATATTATTGATAACGATGATAATCATGATCCATATTGATAACGATAAAAATATCAACAGGACTGTAATAATAATAATAATAATATAGCAGAAATATGATAATAATATAATAATAAAAGTAATAATAACAATAATAACATAATAATATTAATAATATGATAACAATAATAATATTATCATAATAATATTATTACATAATAAGAATCGGCAGTAATTATAGAAATAATTATTGGTATTGTGATATTATGATGAGGTTAGTTATTGGCAATTGAAGAACCTTTCGATGTGGATAGCGCAAATCCATTGCAGTGACCAACAGCTGAGATGTAATCCTTACGTCGAGATATAATCAAATCGCGTAATTCAGTTAACGAATTACGGATTTCGTCAGCTTTTGAAGTATACAGCGAGAAATTGGAACTATCTTTACTGATCACATCATTTGATGGCTCTGATGAGGGTTGTTTTGATGTTAACACTGAAATCGTGAATTGTGAAAGTTAAATTGAAAAGTTGAAATTCTCAGCAAATGATTTCATTCGTTTCAACTTTTCGGACCCACAACAGGCACTGAGACTTCACAGATGTGAAATTTTCATTCGGAAATACACACTTTTAATTGTTTCTGAAGGTGCAATTACAACTACGTAGCAAATGAATGATGCCATGTGACGAGTTGACTGCTGGATTTTGGATTCATGAGTGGAGTTCTGTAGAAGAATTCTTTAAGAAGATCCAACAACGATTCCGTCCCGTGTCCATTACGACCGACAGAAACTGATATTGGGAACATCTGAAAGAAATGAAAAAAAGAAATCAATGAAACG